CGGACGTCGCCCACGCCTTCATCGGCCCATGGGTGGCGCACTTCTGGACCCTGCCTGGCCTCTCCTCTAACCGTGGCTCACGGTTCGCCTCGACGGCGGCTTCGGACGTCGCCCACGCTGTCATCGGCGCCTGGGTGGCGCACTTCTGGACCCCGTTTGGCCTCTCCCCTGTCCACGGCTCCTTCCTCCCGGGGAGACTGCTCCTGCCTCCCGGGGATACCGCTCATTCCTCCCGAGGACTTCGTGCCCGCCGCCGCTGCGCGCTCGCCTGCGGCCGGGCTGCGCTCGCCTGCGGCCGGGCTGCGCTCGCCTGCGGCCGGGCTGCGCTCCTCCCTGCTGGGGACCACCGGGATATGCACGCCCGTCCCCACGTCGCACAGCGGCCCAGCTTTCTACGGCTGGCGGATGTTTTCTTCATTCGCCACGACGCCTACCGCAGCCCCCTGCGGCCCCCTTACGACGGCCCGTTCCGTGGCCCGCCCCCCACCCCCCGGTGGGGGTGCCCTCGCCCTTGTTGGGCCCCTGCCCTCTCCTGCGGCTTCCTTCCGACGGCCTGTTCCATGGCCTGGCACTCGCCTGCGGCCCTACCCTCCTCGGCCCCTGTGGTGCTTCCTCCTGGTCGCGAGGATTGTATCCATGTTTGAATTCTGGGGGGGCTTGTGTAGTGATCACTGGTTTATCATAATTCACTCGTGGAACTACAGGTTGGGGGTATTGTTCCGCACGGATATGTTGTTGACTGTACTTATTGTGTGCCCTCCTTTCTTCTTCCTCTTTGCTTCCCGGGCAACATGTGGTTTTCTGCTGCTCAATAAAACCAACTTTGCACCTTCGATGCACCGCCTCCGACTCCCTTCTCTCGGCACTACAATATAATAAATATAAAATCAGAAAGTATTTATCAAACGCACACAGGCAGCTGTGTTTAGATCCAGTTTGACGGTAAAGGATATGTATGCTGGTTTAATTTATCTGGCCTCATTGCTGTGATGTTTAATTTACGTGGATTTACCGCATTTACCTACCGCATAGTTTAGCAAATAAAGTGATCGATCTCCCAGGTAGCGCTGTCTGCGTATAGTATTTTGTAACGTCACGTCCCAAACAGCGACCATCTGTTAAACGCTATCGATTCAAACGGCAGCGTTTTATTAATATTTTGTTTCAAGCTCTCGTCTTTAGTAAAAACAAAGCTAGTGGAAGGGGAAATGCTCCCAGGGGAAGCTGATCCACCATCAGGTGCTGGGACAGCTCGCTCCCTCTCTGCAGCTGTGTGAGCCGCGGTCTGTGTGAACGCCGCTCCGCAGTTTAATGCAGGGCCGTAGCTGCGTTTTTAACGCGCCTAAAATTATATTTTAAATGATTCACTTTTAATTAATGAACTGCTTGTTTCGTTGCTTGAGAAGCTTGTGGACATAGTGTAGGTTTCTATATACAGTCTATGCAGGGGCGCCGCCAGGGATTTTGGGCCCCATGAAAAGATATCACGAATGGTTACTTAAAGTGGACCTATCATGCTATATTTGAATAATATAGTGTAGGACCATACCTATATAAAGCATATTTATACTTTTTTCTTTTCAAAATACCAAACAGATCATGCATTTTAGCCATGCCTCATTTCGCTCAATTTGCACTTTTTTTTAGCTCTGCTCTGCAAGGGCAGATTCAGTGAGAACAGCACCATCTACTGGCCTGGCATATGTACTACAGCGTCTCCAGCGCCTTCGAACGGCAATGGCCGTGGCTGTCTCCTCCTGATTGGTGGAGTTGGCCCAATAGCCGTAGCGCCACTGTCCTGACGTCAGGACAGTGTTCAAATCTGGATCAGTTTTTATCAGATCCGTTGCAGCCCCTTTTTTAGAGATTTGGGTATGGAGGAAAATAGAGAGGGTTGTGTTTTCTGACACTTGGTGAGTTCCCTGGAACACCGGGGACACATATTCATGTATAAAAGACGTACAAAAGTGCATTTTGCATGATAGGTCCCCTTTAAACATTTTTTTCTTGTTCTAAAATAGTTTGGGCCCCTGTCAGTCACGGGCCCTTAGAATCGTCCTAACGGACCGTCTCCACAGCAGCGTTAAAAAAATCTTGGAGGTGGGCGTATCTGAGGCTTGGGGATTTTTTTGCGATCAACCAATCACATGAATCTCCCGCCCGCGACATACGAAGCCAAAAAGCCCGAAGTAAACTGGATATAAACTCCCCAAAACAGGCGAAAACATACCACTGTCTCTGCCACCTCCCTCCATGCCTGGCTCCTCCGGTTTATATCCCGGTAGGTCTGGGGCCTCATTTATAACGCCTTGCGTAGGATTGACGTAGGAAGGTTGCTTACGTAGTACAAAGCACAAAAATAGGTACATAAATTTTCCGCCATTTTCCGATTCACAAAACATTGCGTACCGGCGAGGGAAGTGCGTACGGCACTCCCTACGCCTGTTTCCCTTGATAAATCACAATCGACTCGTAACGCCCATATTTGCCTATACATAGTCAAAGAAACGCCCATTCATTCATTCATTTTTGACTGACTGCATGAAGAAGATCGCAGGAAATTACGATAGAACAGCTAAAAAAGACATCTCACACCGTGTCAGATTTTGGTTATTGTGGGGAGGTCGAGATAAATCATATTGTTTGGTGGATGCAGTTTGAACCAGAGTAGCAGCATGGAGGTCGGATCGTCACCAAAATAAATAAATAAGTGGTCCGAAAAAAGTTAATGACAAAACAAATACACATAACCTTCCTCAGGCAGTGTGTTTGTCCCGGGGACAGGAGACACCCCCTTGATGAGAAACTGTAAGAAATGATCGGGGAATCCCTCCGGAGTGGAGTCATGACGACTGGATCTGAATTATTTTTGTTGTATTTGGTGGTTTGTGTTCCAGCTGTCGATCAGCAACTATATATACATAATCCACCAGTTAAAGGAAATACAACTAATGGATTGTGTTATATTAGCTGTACAATTTACCACATATGGTGTTCTTAGTTTCCATACCTCCTGTGTTTTACGAGCGACTTATCAAGTCTTGGCAAACGGCATAAAACACGATTAAACGTGATAGTATATAAAACCATGCTCGTATCTACAACCTATAGAAATGCAAAACGGCGTCAGTTTAGACGTAATTCTGTCCTCCTGCTTACCGCATCATTTATGAGAAAACATTTCATAACATTAACACAACATATTCGAGGTGGTTTTAAATAGCATATCCGTATTTATTTATTTCTCCAAGTTATGTTTTTGTGTGCACTGAGGAGTCTCAAACAGGCGTTTGTTTAATCATTTTAAGATTGGCTTTAATCAATGTTTGAAAATGAATTCTTCATATTTGATAAATGAGAGGTAACATTTTATTTATGGTATTATTTCCACATATTTCTCTCCATTCTTCCTTCTGCCAACGGTGTCGCAGTTTCTCCTCTCTCCCGTTTGTGTGCTTAGTGCGTACGCATGGGTTAGAGTTTGCGTGGAGGACAGCACATTTTCCCGTCAAGTTAGTATTTTATAAATCGCAAACATTGCGTAGAAACTGGCGTACGCCATTTTTTGAGCGTATATCCCTTTATAAATGAGGCCCCTGGTCATAAAGCACCGGGTGATTGATTCGCTACCGCTAATTTCTCCTCCATTTTTTGGAATATGAGGAAATGACCTGCGGTCTGGCTCTCCCAGCATACACGCCGTTTGATTGGCTAGAGCTTGAACTGTCAGATTTGCGTACACGGGATTTGATTGGCTGACGCTTCCTCCTCAGCTTCAAAAGTTGAACATTGTTCAACTTTGGATCTTGAAAATCCTGAGAATCTCCGCTCGCCTGCCCACAATGCATTTCGGCGAAAGCGAAAAAAAGTGACGTCACCCCATTCAAAGTGAATGGGCAGAAGCGTTTCAAGATTTTTTAACGCTGCCGTGGAGACGGCCCGTAACGGGCCGTCTCCACGGCAGCGTTAAAAAAATCTTGGAGGTGGGCGTATCTGAGGCTTGGGGATTTTTTTGCGATCAACCAATCACATGAATCTCCCGCCCGCGACATATGAAGCCAAAAAGCCCGAAGTAAACTGGATATAAACTCCCCAAAACAGGCGAAAACATACCACTGTCTCTGCCACCTCCCTCCATGCCTGGCTCCTCCGGTTTATATCCCGGTAGGTCTGGTCATAAAGCACCGGGTGATTGATTCGCTACCGCTAATTTCTCCTCCATGTTTTGGAATATGAGGAAATGACCTGCGGTCTGTCTCTCCCAGCATACACGCCGTTTGATTGGCTAGAGCTTGAACTGTCAGATTTGCGTACACGGGATTTGATTGGCTGACGCTTCCTCCTCAGCTTCAAAAGTTGAACATTGTTCAACTTTGGATCTTGAAAATCCTGAGAATCTCCGCTCGCCTGCCCACAATGCATTTCGGCGAAAGCGAAAAAAAGTGACGTCACCCCATTCAAAGTGAATGGGCAGAAGCGTTTCAAGATTTGTTAACGCTGCCGTGGAGACGGCCCGTAACTGTTCACCCCCTTACGGCGCCCCTGAGTCTATGGTATAAGCTAGTATAATCATGCATCCATTACTTTTATTTTTACACAATTATATTTTGTATAAAGTCTGTCTTCTAAATTATAACATCATATTTATAAAGTAGCATTGAATTGAAATATTCAAGTTGTGTCTGTAACTCAAAATGTTAGCAAAGTACAGTACTTAGTGGATAATTATATACAAGGGTCATGATCATGATAGGCTACTGGTTTTAAATGACACGCCAATCAAAGTCATTCTAGACGAACTAGTTGCTTTAAATAATGACTGAAACTTGTATCCCCTTGTAGATTAACAACGCTAGGTACATTATGCATATACTTTATTACTTCACAAAACATATTCTTGTTATTTTCTGAATTTAAATATCACCTGGCTTCTACCTTTGACCTCATGCTGTCAGCCAATCAGAAGCGTCCTACTGAAGCAGCATCCAATCAGATTTGACGGAGCACTATTTGAAAGCCGCTCGTCTTTGTCTTGTTTACCTACTGAACTCGGTGTCCAAGGAGCCTGTCGCTAAATCGTGCTTGTTGGTGCTAAACTATATCCCCGTATTTTATTTGAATCTGTTTGCCCTCGTTGCAGCCAAAGTTGACATGTCTTCTGCTGAAGTTCGTGCTGTGGTGAGTAAACTGTAGTTCACTGTTTTACTGCATGTCACGTCAATTGTTTGCAAAGCTCGTAGCTTCGCCAGCTAGCATGGCCGCTTCTTGGCTTGACTTTATGTTCGCATTAGCTTTTATTGAACAGGGTTTTTTATTTTCTTAAGCTTCTCCGTAGTTTGTGAGACGTTTCCTTTTCTCTTTCAGCAGCTCCCAGCCGGAGAGAAGCCCATGAAGATGATGGGTAAAGCCGTCGTGGGTCTGAGGAGAGCTGCTCTCGGAGAGATCACCAACTTTAAAGCAGCAGCAGTCAACACCAAGGTAAGTTAAATCATCATCATGGAAGAACTGTTTGGGTCAGCTACTGCTCTCCATGTTTCATGCCTCCTTTTGTAGCTCTTTTGAAGTGTTGTGTATCAGCCCTGTGACATGACATGAGCTACACTTTAAGGCTACGAGTATGTGGACACTATTCATAAAGCTAAAACCAAGCAGCACATCATTGTTGCAGTTCATGTTTAAACATGCATCTTTCCAAACTTGTTTCCTTAGAAGATGGGCCCTGCCAAAGCTTCATTCAAACCCTCAGTGAAAGCCTCCATTGCCCCTAGAGCTCTACCTGTGGTGCTGCCCATGGCCCCGGCCCCTGCAGACCCCCTCCCCACATTCTCAGAGGAGTCTGCTGATGTGTCCATGAAGGAGGCGGAGGAGGAGGAGCTGTGCCAGGCGTTCTCTGATGCGCTGCTCATGGTGCAGGATGTGGATGAGGAGGACGGGGACCTGCCGCAGCTCTGCTCAGAATATGTCAAAGATATCTACAGCTACCTGCACGTCCTGGAGGTAATTCACCCCTCCAGTAATGCTCTCTTTTCCCACCCTGCAAGGTTGAGTGTTACATCTGTTTGTCTCCACAGGTGGAGCAGGCTGTACGACCCAACTACATGCAGCATTATGAGATCACTGAGCGCATGCGGGCTGTCCTGGTGGACTGGCTGGTCCAGGTGCACTCCAGGTTCCAACTGCTGCAGGAGACTCTGTACCTCACAGTTGCCGTCCTGGATCGATTCCTCCAGGTAGGAGCGGTCTAAACTGTCTTTTCTTTGTGTTTTGTGAGCTGTTTGTAAATGTCTGCCGCTGTGCTTCAGGTCCAGCCGGTCTCTCGCAGGAAGCTGCAGCTTGTCGGTGTGACGGCCATGCTGGTGGCCTGTAAATACGAGGAGATGTACGCTCCAGAGGTGGGAGACTTCGCCTACATCACAGACAGCGCCTTCACAAAGGCTCAGATTCTGGAGATGGAGCAGCTGATTCTGAGGACCCTCAACTTTGAGCTGGGACGCCCTCTTCCTCTGCACTTCCTGAGACGGGCTTCCAAAGTGGGAAACGTAGGTTCTTGTAAACATTTACCACTGCAATATTGTCTGGGCAATGTTTAAGGACTATATTGGACAATGCTGTGTAGAGCTACAGTATCTGTCATTCATTTCACTGCGTGTTCTCAGTTTGACCTTGCATAAAGAGCTACCAGTGATGGCTTTTTAAATAAAATTATTTTAATTTTAATTGATTAGGTGATTTAAAGAACTATGTAATTCTGGATTTGCCCGACGGGAACGAATACTATAAACAATCTTTGAGATTTTGTAAAAACATTAATGAGATTTCACTGGTTTGGATGGTTGTGCCTCAGTCTGATGTAGAGAGACACACGCTGGCCAAGTACCTGATGGAGTTGACGCTCCTTGACTACCACATGGTGCACTATCGGCCCTCTGAGATTGCTGCTGCTTCTCTGGCGCTCTCCCAGCTGCTGCTGATAGCCCTGCCCTGGGTGAGTGATGGCATTAGAGGGGCATCTACACTTAAAATGTTTCATTTTCCTGATGTTAATTTTTCTGTCTTGTGTCAGTCTCCTCAGCAGCAGCACTACTCTACTTATGACGCCGCCCATCTGAAGCCCATCATGCAGCACATCGCCAATAACATAGTGATGGTCAACGAGGGGAAGACAAAGTTCCAGGTGAGTTGAACGACCAAGTATAAGCATTAAAGTTTTGATTTATAGCAAAAATAAAAACCTTTTTCCTCTGCAGGCTGTGAAGAACAAGTACTCGAGCAGCAAGCTGATGAAGATCAGCCTCATCCCTCAGCTGAACTCGTCCATCATCAAGACCATGGCGGCCGCTCTGCTCAGCAATCCTTGAGAACTTTTACATCATCAGTGGATGTTTCACTTGCACTTTATTTAAGATTGATTACATTCTGTGGATAAACTATAGTACTTTTTTTTAATAAAATCTTTTAAATATTTTAATCTAAGCATTGTGGTTTTGTTCATAGCTTGTGGGAGAGAAACTCCCTCAGGAGCGAACACGGGTAGCTTAACATTTGCAGACTAATTACATGCACAAACTTGTATAACGCACTGCAGGAAAGAGAACCCAAAAGGTATAATGGGGCGGCCCTTTCGGAGAGCTTTCACTGTTTGTAAGCCAGTTGTTCCCAATAGTGGTCTTGTAAGATGACAAAAGGCACTCTTTTTTTATCTTTGGAGAGGAACCTTAACTCCAAAGGGGGTTTGAACGGGACTTAAACACTGAACTTTGACACAGTCTGATCTGCTTTGCAGTTCATTGCCAGATGCAGTAGCAAATCCTGGCATTTTTGTATTGTGAAACACTAAATATTGTGACATGCTAAATAGAATGTAATGTGTATGTAATTTATAAGGCATCAATGTCTGACATTGATTCGAAGCTCTCCAGTGTACTCTTAACAGTTCAGAATTGCATCACAGAATGGATATAGAAACAAACATTGGCAATGTGATCCAGTGTTGTGGTTGCAATCTCTTAGGAATGCATTAAACAAGTAATTTCTTTAAAAATGAGGAACAATGATTAGATTTTGGGAAACAAGGGTCACAGTGACCTCTAAACACACTTTTTGCCCCGTACTCAATTAATTTGCCAATTATGACAATCTCACAATCCTGACACTGATTTATTATACAACCATCTGTCGTAGTACTCCACTCCTTGAAACAGTCTTGTGTGGAATCAGTGGAGTTCCCCTTTTAGTAATGCTCAAGTATCTGGGAACTTCACTCTGGCAGTGACATGTGATGTCTCATTTGTGGTTCAGTAGACTAAATGAATGAGGCCACTGTGATGCAATGTAACCCTTAGTGAGAGAATGAATCCCAAGTGTGAGGTCAGTGTCATTAATCCACAGCGTCACTCATCTGTTATGAAACTATCTGAAGTCCAGCGAGAGAAACTGTCTTCTGTCTTTTGCTTTGTCCAAAGTGTGCAGCAGCGTCACACATTACTCACAAAGACGGTTAGCTCAAGCAGAATAACGCCATTTATAATCCCGCGTTCCCTCACACACTGAGCCCGACTGACTGTGTGCTGGTGTGTGGAGGAGCATTGTACTCGTCAGACTGACCCTGACTTCACCACCACCACCCTCCTCCTCCTCCACACCGACTGAATGGTGCTGAGCTGCTGCAACACAACAGACATATTACATCTTATATCTAGAAAAAAAAAGCATGTATTTTTTTTATGCAAATAGAAAGGGTTCTACTTTTAAGAACGTACATATTTATTATACATTTTTAGATATTTTTGTCTTTTAAGAAACTTACATTTGAATGACCAAAAAACTAATAATACTATTTCTCAACCTAACTTTTATTTCTGGCAGTGTGGGCTTTGAAACATTACTTAAATGTTAGGAAATGTAACTTTATAAATGTAATGCCTGAAAAATACTTAATTAAATGTTATCATTCAATAATACTTACAATATATGGTTGAGGTGAATTTATCTGCTGATTATTTTGTCAATTAATTAACTGTTTGGTTTTTGTCAAACCAACAGTTCAAACCTTAACAGTATTAGTAATACATGTAATTATTACCAGTAAATGTTTCTACAGAAGATGTTTAGGGCCGGCCACATCAGCGAATACATATCTAATAATGTATATCTTATTAGATATTTATTGACTGATTTCAATCTTTCTTTAAATTAGTATATTTAAGTACTCTGACTAGGACCAATACATAAATACAAAATATTGTTGACCAACCTGACTTGTTTCTATCTGATTAAAATTCAGATCAGTCGATGATAATTTGGCTTAGAAAAATTATAATGCAAAAAATGTTATCTATGTGTCTACGGAAGATGATTAGGGCAAAATTATATAAAATCAATGGGGGAAACAATGCAAATATTAAGGTTAAGCGTTAGGGTCAGAAACCTTTTTATTGTGAAATAGCCTATGTATCTTTATTGGATTTTTTTTTTATTTAGTAGGCCTATAGGCTATTTAAATGTGACTACTTTAAGACCAAACGTCAAAAACGTTGAAACATTTATCTGGTAAAAATGCAGATCAGACGATTAAATAATTTAGTCAAAAAATGATAATAACACAAAAAATATGTCCATGGATTATCTCCACTTTATCCTGTGTTTTTTGTAAACTGCTTAATAAACACTTGTGTTGTCGCAGAACAGCCTGTTTTGTAATCCTCTTCTTCTGTGGTGATGCGTGCTCTGCGGGGATTTAGGGGTTAAAGCGGGGCATTATTTGACTCGTTAATTCCCATATCTGCCACACGGGGGGGACCGGAGGAGCCTCTCCTGCTGCTGCCTGTCCGCCTTCAGTCTCACTCTCTGCTACTGCTTTGTTGTCCAGCCGGAGGAGGTCACTCGGTCCGAGCAGCAGTCCACTCACAGCGCACTCAGGAGCCGCAGAGCAGCCGCCAACTCTCCGCAGAAAACAATTCTCTCCGCAGTTTGACAAAACAACCAAGTAAGTAAATATACGACTCTTGCTCTCTATACGGAAGCTTTCTTTTCTTAATTCATGTTTTTTTCCGCGAACACGAGGCATGTGAGGCTGCTGTGTTCAGATCGATCATCAGGTTGTCGATTCATCGGTTCTTCGTGACAAACGGCCGCATTTCAGACATGTTGATGACTTTAATTGAGTAAACAGGACTGGTGATGTGGCGCATGTGTGCATGATTTATCTAACGTATCTGACACGATGAGGAGCTTCAGTATCAGACCACTTGTTTGGCCAGAGAGACACTGAAGTACAACTTTCAAGTTTAAACTGGACTCAAATATTAATAATAACAGTACTTTTTAGAGTCCAAGTATCAAGGAGGCTCTTGTTGGAAAGCAAGCAAAACAAGTTATAAGATCACGTGAAAAAAATTGTCAGAACTTTACTAACTTTTTTAAAGCCCTTCAGGACAAGCATTAACTGTGCAGATAAAAACGTTTTGTTGTTGCATGTAATCTGGTGTAACAGAAACTGAAGTTAATCAATTTTTGGGACTTTGACCCACACTTTGTACCTTTTTAATTAAAGAGAAACACACACAGAAACAGAGCAGTTGAACAGATATCAGTTATTTGAAGCTGATCCAGGCAGTAATGTAAGATTTTAAGACGTAATTTGATTACAAGTTAAAAGGTTTTATTGATTTGAAGTGTCTTTTATTCCCATGGGAGTATAAAAGCCTTTCAATATGACACAAGTAAAAAGGCCTAGAGGAAAGTCTGAAAAACGTTTACATAATTTGAGGTAGCAGAAAGGGTTCTGGTTCCTGTTGTGGTAACTACTGATTGAAACCATCATGGGACACTCAAACTCTCTACGCTTTATTCAATAAAACTAAAAATACTGCCTTTAGTTAAAGAGAAACACACAGAAACATGCTTAAACAATTGAATGAAACGGAAGAACAGTGCAGAGAAAATAAAACTTGATTGCAGGGTTTTAGGCTGTTAACTGAAAAGCTAAAACGGAGGATTATGTGGATTATTTTGACATCTATGCAGTCAAAAAACAGTCATAAATGCCCAAAGTGACATCTTCAATTTGTTTACTTGGTTTGGTATTTTGTCTAATCAACAGTCCAAAATGAATAATAATAATGATAATGTAAGACCATCAGCAAGTTTTTCCAAACAGCCACCAAATTAAACGCCAAAATTAATCATTTTTATACTACCATTTTCTGATCTAATGTCCATATATGCAATAGAACACAATTTTTTTTTTTTTAATAGTTATAGCCTACTTTACAGTTTAAAAAAATGTATTTCTGTTTTTTGAAAAGGACTTAATGGAGGTTGCGGGATGTCCGGTTTTTGTCTCGATACTGTTTGCTTATCATTTACAAAGTGGTATTGTTTGTATCCCAGGAAGACTAGACTAAAATGCTCCCATTAGATAAGCTAGTTGGCATCAACTGATCGACAATTCGTTTTAGGCCTGAGCCGAACCCTGAGGCCAACCTGACTGACTCACGTCGGCACAATATTTAATCAATTTACAAAACATCCAGCTCTTCTTCTGCAGGGTGATTGTCTGCATTACAGATATGGATGTGGGTCAGTGTTGTGCATGGTGGCATCAGTCAATATTTCAGTTTTCTCCCTTCCCCTCTTGCACATCGGTGAATCTTGTCCTCAACTTGCGAGGCAGTAAATCAGTCCAGCTGCAGGTCGGGCTTCACTGCGGCGTGACCTTAATTACCTTTCCATACATGGGGAACAGAAGTCTTGTTGAAGTGCTTCTGCCGGAGTTCTATCAGACAAGAATGTTTTCACCCACAGGAACCAGTTAATCTGCATTCTGAGATATTTAACAAAACACCAAGTCTGTGTGTTTCAAGTGTAGAAAAACCTAATTCAGTTTGCTTCTCACAAAAAATAGTGCAGTCTGTCTGTTTGCCGGAGACTCACCCTTAGTGAGTCTATAACCTGTTTACCCTGTTTAGTGGAATAGCCCTGAGGGGTAATTATGGGTTTAATAAGGCTTGAGCCTTTCGAGCTGCTCACATTTCTCCTGCACAAAGAACAACATGCATGGTGGACTTGAGATGAAAGGCTGTAGCTGTCGGGGGCAATTTTCTTAACTTAGATCTTTTCCTGACAACGAAAATGTACTTTCTTCTGTCAAAGCCCAGCAATAGACCAACCAATGAATGTACCTACTTTTTAGGTATTGTGTTTGTATTTTCGCTTGAATATTGTCATTCTTTGTTGGTTAGCCAGTTTTTACTGGACTTTGATGGGAACATTTGATAAAATCTGAGAGACAATGTGTCTGTCTGTCAATCAGATTACGCAATGACACACATTTCATGAGCATTGTTGAAAGGGTGCAGTATCGGCCAAGGAAAAACCTATTACATTTTGGAGTTAATCCGAATAACGTGCATTATTTTTCACTCATAGAGATGGCCTTGGCAGAGGTTTGGACAGCAGAATTGTTGTGGTTTTTTCAAAGGAAATCTCACCACAATTACAGGTTCGAGCACCTTAACTGTGAATATTTGTGGGTTTTGTTGATTGTAAATGGAATATCTTTTTGGTTTTGGACTGTCGGTCTGACAAAACAAGTTATTTTACCGAAGCTAAGCAATGTGCCAGTCAAAAAGGAATGTATTCGTTAATAGGGATCCGTGTTTAGGTGAAAACGCTGATGAGATTGAGTATTAGTGGAAATTAGGTTTCTGTTTACATGCCTCACGTTGTGGGAGTGAGCGCCTGAGTTTGGCACTAAACAAGTATGAGATTTGAGTGACTCCATTTTCCCACACGCCCCCCACCTCTCCCTGCTGCAGCGTCGTCATGGAAACGTGCACAGCTTGCTCCTTTCAGTTGACGTCTGGGAGGCCTGAACTGGTTTTGCCACCACCGAGTGGTACAACACTGAATTAATTATGGTGGTGGGTGGGGTTAATTTACCACAGTCAGGCTGTACCTCGCTTTGTTTAGGTGACTCCCCCCTTTTTGTTCTTACTGTGTGTCCTCCATCGTCCTCACCCCACTAGAAGACAAGTTGTTGTCACTGCAGCAGTAAATGGAAGAAACCATCAGGATCGTCTCTTAAAAGCTATTCTATTCTCTGAAATTGTGTCAGTGGTGAAAGTAGTACTTGGGCCAGAAAGTAGCGAACCCACAATGTACAAATACTCCTTTACAATGATGTGAAAGCACTATTAGTACAGTATTATTGGCTAGATATAGCCTACTTATCGTATCAAATGTGTTGAACACTTGTGTCAAACACTTATTTAATGAAACCATGTGAGGAGTTAGGATGAGTATTTTCTCTTTGGTTGAAACATGAAACTGCTGGACATTCTGTGTGCCCACCAGCAGGGTTGGGAGGGTTACTTTCAACATGTTACTTAACAATTAACATTTTCACGTGGGGAAAAAAAGTATTCAGTAACCTTATCTGTATCAAAATATTAAACTGATATGTAATCTAATTACTTTCCATTACCTCTTTGGCCATGACCAGTTATGCACAGCTTCTTACATTTTAGACAAGGTGGAAGCAACCAGTAACGTCAGGAGACTAATGAAATAACCAAGATATTTTTATCTTTCAAATTTAAGTTACTTGTTATACTATAACTCAACAAGATTATGCACAATAAAAGACACTAAAATAATCATTTTGACTAGAAATTTTAATATTTAATTTACACTGTCTTCTCTTCCCACACCAATGTACATAATGTATTTAATATACTAGATTATCCATCTCAGTGCTTAAACAATAAGCGGTTTAATTTATTAATTAAAACATACATTTCTTATACAATCATTTTAGATTTCAAACTGACTGGACTAGAATATTGTGATGGACATGGTCCACTTTTGATGAATTCAACCAAAACATTATGTTAATATCTCTGTGCAGATTAAGCTATGTATTGAGCTATTCGTAATTTTACAGTGCATCCTTGTAGGATGTTTTTTTGTATTCACAAATATTATTTGATTGGCTTTAGTCACTTTCCACGAGGTGTTACACATCTTTACATCACCTAAAGTAAACTCGTGTCCGGTGTCTCCGAAAACAAAGTGTCACGGTGAGAAAAGGGCGTCTGTTAAACTGCTGCTGCTGTTTTATTGTAAAGCAGCCTCACGGTGCGTCGAGTTTCTCCTTTTGTTTCCAGAGAGGAAATTGTGTCTGAAAGCTGCCATTGTTGAGGCGTCCCGTCAGAGTGGGACTGTGAGAGCTGCGGTGTTAATAAAAGGGTGTGTAGGTGGGGTTTATTTCAGGTGGAGGGAGGAAGAGAAGGGGCGTCAGAATGATTCATCAAAGACAATGAATTCATCGTTTTAGTCATTTTCACGCCAAACACTCGATTTGGCTGTCGGTAGGATTAAAAAAAGCCATTTATTACCGATCTAAAGCTAACCCTTTAAAAAATGCAAATGTTCTCACATTTGTCGACCAAATTGATTCATTTGATAAAAATGTATTGATACTAAAAAATAAAAATGGTGATATTTGTATATATGTTAGAATACATCATGATGAGACCATTCCAGCTGCCTTCATCACATCTCTTATAGAAAAAACATTAATCATGACGGCATGGCAAATACCTTTCGTTCTCCTGCTCCAATAAGACGTTTGTACATATACACTTCCAAGCTGATCTAATTAATATATGTATTAATTACTGAATACACCATGATGGATGTCGCTTTTAGTGACTAATCCACAGATAATCACCTGTATTTTAGTGTCTTTCAGCTCCTTGTGCCGTTTATCTTGCTCAAACTTTTTTGCCAAGAACACATTTTCACTTTTACATTTGTTTGTTCAACATGTTACTAACTTAGCTTTAGTCGGTGAATGTTTGAACATTTAACATAACCAGACTAGCTGTTTCTTACTGCTTCCAGTTGTTATGCTAAGCTAACATAAGCTAACATCCTCCCGACTACAACTTCAAATGTATACAAGACCAATAGATAATACCA